AACCAGGTGGTAGGGATCACAAGCTGCTTCAGCTGGTTTTACCAGGACAAACGATGTAATCTGTCCACTTTAAAGCTCTGAATTGCTGGTAGCTGTAGGAATAGTACAAGATCTCTTACGCAGAGTATGTGATTTGTAGAGATCCTTAAATTTAAATTTTAGATTTTTTTAATTTAGTTTAAAATTTAAATCTTACGCTTTTGGAACAGAAGGAAAACAGCTTCAAAGTTTTCTGCTAAGTTTAACTTTGACTTACACTGAATGCCCAGTGGACCTTTTTGAACAGTGTATGCCTGTAACAGAACTGTCATCCATCCCTTCAGGTTTGAAAGTGGTTTGCTTAGTCAACATGCACTGATGCAAGTAACTCCTGACTTCGGCAGGGCCTCTACAGCTTCCGATGCTGGAAGTTTTAACTGCATGCTGTAATCATAGTTTCCATGGTAGAAGAATATTCTTGATGTAGGTATCAAGTTGTGTGTCAGTTAGACATTGATTTAAACTTCTGTTAATATAATTACAGATAAGCAAGCAACTGTTTCTTTAAGTGGTACTGTATTTTGGAACAAACTCTGAAGCATAAAGTACAAGACATGGTTGCTTCTGTTTTGTGTTCTTCTCTGTTTCTATGCAGCATTTAATTAAAATCTGTTCATATGCATGATCTGAGCTGAGAATTCTGTTGTGAAATAGTTGGCTGCACCATTTTCTTACTTGCATACTGAACATGTTTGGTTCATAATAAATAAAATACCTAACAGGAAATACCTTTCATAATAAATTGCAGGCTCTTTTAAGAATTGTTAATATTCTTCTAGTATTGGCTTTATCAGTTTGCAGTGTTTCAAAACAATTTTCCACTGAAGTATAATTCAGTTTTTGCTACCTGGGTTCATGCTGAGGTGTGAGAGTACTCATGGACACCTTGAATAAATGTGGCAAAGAGAACCCTAGCAACTGGGAAGACGAAATTATAGTGACAACTGGTGTATTGGCAGAACTCTTCAAAGGTTAATTAATCTTGCTTTAAAGGGTGTTGTAGCTCTGCAGAGCTGGAAATGCCTACATAGGTTGTGGTGGGTTTTCTGTTGGATACTGTCAAGGCAGTGGTTTCACTGTGTGTATCCTGGTATAGTTTTGTGGTGCACACTACAGACTAAGTCAAGCTCTGTGCAGTAGTAGTTCTCTCTGACGTGAAAGGTCAGGGTATGCCAGGACAAACAGATGGCAGGACATGTGCACATGGTGTAATCAGGAAGACTGCCCCTCATCAGTGTCATCTGGATTGTGCTGCATAAATTTGAAATGCCAGCTCTTTCCAGTACAAAGTAAGTACTGTAAGGCAATGAAAAAATATATTTAAATTTTAAATTCCTTCCATATTTTTGCATAATTTGGTGTATGAAGTAGCTCATATTCTTCCCTTAAAACTAGTTATGGAAGCATCAGAACTAATCATGCCTGAGTATCTTATAAGGAGTGTTGGCAAAAGACACTTGCATATTTGAACATTGCTAAATTGTTGGGTTTTCTTCTGTGCTTTGCAGGATCTAATAAGAGCCTGAAATAAGGTTTTCTTTGTTTCTAACAGCTGCTGTTTTTTTTATTACTTGTAGGAGTGTATCAACTTAAAACTTTTTGTCAAATCTGGTAGATGGCTTCAAAAGCTTTGGGAGAAGAAGTGCATTCTTGCCTGCATGTCTGAAATGTAATTATGTAAGATGTGTTTCATTAAGGTATTTGGCTAAATGTAAATAATGAAACCAGATAGAGTGAACTATTAGACTGGAAGAGTATTCTTTTTCCAGTTGTCACATCATCTAAGCCACTTGTTACCCATTTTTATTATTTTTTTTCAGGTAACACTGAGCTGTCTTCTGCTGAAGAATGTTGTCTTCCAAACCCAGGACACAGCCTCTTCTTGAGTCTGATCTGTTTTACCATGATGCAGAATATATTTGGTAGGCAGACATCTTGCTTTCCTCAAAGGCTCAGACTTAAAGGTGATATTTCTGAGCTAATTCTTAAGTCTGGAATCACAGTGGTCTTTATGAGGCTTTATAGATTTTTAAGTTGTAACAAGTTGGTGTCTGTGCAATTCACTTCACAGATGTAGAAGTACAGAACTGTACAGACCTAGTTAGAAGGTAATGTCCAGGCCAGAAATCTGTTTTTTTATGTGAATTAGATGCAAACTTCCACGTTTGAATGCCCAAAACAGCAATATAGCTTTTAGTTTTGGTATGGTTGTTGGGGTCACATACAGTGCAATGACTCTCCAGTAGTAAAATTCTTTCTGTCTTTTGAAAATCCAGCATGAAAACGTTATGCCCTGTTCTGCTTCCCAAGCACTTCTCTGTCCTATTATGTTCCTTTTTGTTTATGAGGTACCAGTTCTCCTCCCTGTACTGTTTCACCGTCCTGTGTGCCATCAGCAGAAGCACAGTCACTCTGCAGAAGAGCATGAGCCTGATTGTTCCTGTTGAAACCTGAGCCTTTTGCTGCACTAAAGCAATGAATGTTCTAGCTCATGTCCTGAAGCTTCCTTTCAGTGCCTGCCTTCTGTACAGTAGTGTGCTCCCTGAACCTTGTTCAAGTATTTCTGTGTTCCCACTGCACGTCAGAGATGAGGTAGAGAAGAGCTTTATTATTTCATCAGTCTGTCCTTGAGGCCTACACATGATGCATATCTCTTCCCACTTCCTATGTGAAGGCCTAGTCTTGTTGCATGTCTGTAGCAAGGAATACCCAGCCTTCAGTGTTCTCATACTGGCACCAAGTATCTCATGCTCCAGCCTGCAAACTGTGTTTTGTTGCTAAAGCCTCAGGGGGATAACCTCGCTTATGACGTGTGATTTTACAATTTCTATGTCAAAAACTGCATTAAAACATTTGGCAAGTAAAGTGTGAAAAATTTAGGAAAATCCTGGAAGTCTGCCCTGCAAACTTTCACTCAGTTCTCACCCAATGCCTGAAGACCTTTGTATCTTTGATGACAGTGTTAGGTGTTTTTTTCCTGGATAAAGCTGCCCTGTGAAAGGGCACTGCTTAGTTAGGGCCACATAGAGGGAAGGAAGGTCAGGATGAGATTGCTAGTTTAATTTCTTTACTGTATTGAAGAGTGTGATTACTGAAGCTAGTTACTAAAGGAGCAAAGAGGAGGAATCTGTTTTCTAGCTCAGTTTCAGGCAAGGGTCTCTTTCATAATGTAAATGACAGTTGGACATGCAGTTGATATCTGTGTATTTTGTGGGTGAGCAAGCTGAGGTCCCTGGGACCTGACTTGCTGATGTGTTGAGCATTCACCAGATGAGCTGGAAGAGCAAAGCTGGATCAAGATAATGAAGGTAAACATAGAATTATTACAGTGAAACTTGAACATGTTTGATGTGCAAGTAATTTAAAAGATTTTTTTTAAAGACAAGCATTTTGTTCAACATCAGATGTTTCTGATTTTTAAGGTTATGTTTTGAACCTAAAACATTAAACAATCTGAGTGAGCTAAGAATGGCAATAGGAGAGATTAATTGAATTTTTCAGTGCAATTAGATCTGCATTTTTCTATCCTTCAAATATTTTAGAGTAAAAGTTTTGACAGATATTGCACATAATAGCAACAAGCATTAATGGGCACCTCAATCTAGCCAAATGAGGTCAGAGCTTTGAGGTAAGACTTTCTTACTGTAAAGGAATCACTGAGATGCTGTTGATAGATACCCTAGAATAGTTTATAAGGAAAAGTACTAGAGAATCCCATGCAGTAAATACTATGGGAAACCATTAACTTGCAGGATAAAAACAAAAAGCACTTGTTTTGCTTTGATAACAAGGTATCCTGAGATGTAATTCAAAGGGTTTCTTTCAAAGGGCAGGTTCTTAGCA